AGACTGACAGGGCTGATCAGGGCTGTCACACCGGCCCCAGGTGCCGCGGCCCACCGGGAATTTTCCCGGTATCCCGGTGGGCCAGTCCGGCCCTGGCCAAACCCTGCCGCTTACATCTCAAAAACATAGCTCGCATCCGCCCCTATTTAACACCAGACGCGGCTAAGGTGCTGGTCCATGCCGTTGTTCTTTCTCGCCTTGACTACTGCAATCCCCTTCTCAGTGGTCTTACGTGTTACTAGATTGCACATGGCAGCAAGGTTAATTTTCCTGTCTGCCTGCACCTCCCACGCCTCCCACCTCTGTCAGTCCCTACATTGGCTTCCAGTTAGCTATAGGGCTAAATTTAAGATTCTGGTGCTTGCTTACATGTCCCCACATAATGCTGCTCCAACCTACCTATCCTCCTTAATACACAAGTATGTCCTGTCGAGGCCACTGTGCTCTGCCGCAGACCTACGTCTATCCTCTGTCTGTACTCCCACATCTGATGCTTGCCTCCAAGACTTCTCCAGGGCTGCACCATCTCTGTGGAACTCCCTTCCCTTCTCCATTAGACTTTCACCCAGTCTCCACTCCTTTAAAAAAATCTTTGAAAACACACTTCTTTAGGAAAGCATATCATTTAAACTGTTAGTGAATTCCCCCCTCCATGACTCCTCTCCTGCAACTGTCAAAAATAACCTACTAAGTTCCCAGTGAATACTTTTCTAGCAATCTATTTCATTACCCCTACTTATACCCTCTGTGTCACTATACCCCACTCCCTCTAGCATGTAAGCTCAATGAGCAGGGCCCTCAACCCCTCTGTTACTGATGGGGTGGCATTTCTTTGCGGGGCCGCACAGCCCTCCATGTGCTCGCCAGAGGTAGCCTGACTGCCATTAGGTACCGAGATGAGATCCTCAGACCCCTTGTGAGACCATGTGCTGGTGCGGTTGGCCCTGGGTTCTTCCTAATGCAAGACAATGCTAGACCTCGTGGCTGGAGTGTGCCAGCAGTTCCTGCAAGATGAAGGCATTGATGCTATGGACTGGCCTGCCTGTTCCCCAGACCTGAATCCAACTGAGCACATCTGGGACATCATGTCTCACTCCATCCGCCAACGTCACGTTGCACCACAGACTGTCCAGGAGTTGGCAAATGCTTTAGTCCAGGTCTGGGAGATCATCCCTCAGGAGACCATCCGCCACCTCATCAGGAGCATGCACAGGCGTTGAAGGGAGGTTATACAGGCACGTGGAGGCAACACACACTACTGAGCCTCATTTTGACTTGTTTTAAGGACATTACAGCAAAGTTGGATCAGCCTGTAGTGTGTTTTTCCAACTTTAATTTTGACCAAATCCAGACCTCCATGGGTTGAAAAATTTGATTTCCATTTTTTAAATTTTTGTGTGATTTTGTTGTCAGCACATTCAACTATGTAAAGAACAAAGTATTTCAGAAGAATATTTAATTCATTCAGATCTAGGATGTGTTATTTTCGTGTTCCCTTTATTTTTTTGAGCAGTGTATATAGTGGAATAAAAAATATAATTTCTCTTAAATAGAGTTTATTCCTTTAGTCTGGTTATAGGGCATTCTAAAGAATAGTAGTATGTCGTATGTGAATGATCTATTTTATCAGATAAGTGTAAATAAGCAAGCAAAACCAACAAATTGTACACATTTTGTTGATGGTGTAGTTTTTTTCACATTAAGGATTTAGGCAATTGTCGAACTTCAAAACCGAAGGAAAATACTAGCCAGGTTTCTCCTTGCAACTGGTAATATGCTAAAAGTGTCAGCTCATGCTTTCATCTAATCACTGATCCCCAAGACAAACCTTTTTGTTGTGTATGGCAGTCAGAAGAATGAAAGTATAGACAGAGAGAAAGGGTGCTTTAGTGGTTTAAACAGTTTGAAAATGGGTTAATCCCTGAAGGTAAGACAGTGCCCAATGAATATAGGTTTTATTGTGATGAATCACTTCGGAGAAAAATATATAATAATTTTATTGTTCATATAGGATACAATGTACAAAACAGACACATCACTAAAAGTAGTCTTTATAGTACAGTATGTGAATTAATGCCAATAGATGAAGACAAAGCTGTATATCCACATTTTTACAATATAACAACTAAAACTAGGGAACTTGAGAAGTAAGCAGGAAAATAAAGAGAAACATGCTTAGTTATGGTCAATTTGTTAGAAGATGGGAAACAAAAAAGGAATCACCTTTTCCAATCATGGATGGTCCAAAGAATGTTCACGTCCAACTGAGATCATATTGTTGGGGTGTAAAATGTAAAACTTGTCATATGATGAAAATAAAAAAATTACATAAAAAAAAAAAAATCAAACAGAAGTGCTTAATTTCTCAAATATATCAAGTAGGTCATGTCAGTGGATTTGATAGGGGAAAGAAGGGTGTATCTTATTCTCATTAACAGTTAGATTTGCAGTGATGAGTACCAGGTTGTGTACTCTAAAGTGGGTTTCATTGTAGATTGCAATGGTGCATCTACAGTAGGAATACAGAATTTCCATATAGAAATTAATCATTATTTCTTTGTTTAATAGGGTTTTGCCAGTCTACCTCCACAAAATCCCATGTAACTGTGTAGATATAATGCCATATTTGCAAATATGAAAACCATGGAGGCAAAAGGTCTGGGAAGCCCCGGTGAATCGTAGCACTGGAGATTTTTACTTTTTGTTATGCAATATATAGTTGTGGCAAACCTAGCCACTTGGACATTACTTAAGGACTATGGTTTTAAGGGTTGCCTGTATGATTTTAGTGATATGTATGTTCCTGGGTATAATGTAATGTGATTGTGTAACACTGTATTGCCTGAATTGGCTATCTGCCGAAAGCAGATAGCTGATTTCCTTTCGTTTCACGAACGGCACCTTTGCGGGCCGTTCGTGAACCGAATAAACCACCCTGTAACAGCCCACACATTGAGAGACGTGTTGCGCTCGTTAACCGATTGCAACAATGTTGCAATCGGTAATTAGAGGCTCTCCTAGGTGGCTGTCGTTCAGCTACCGACCATGCGGCGGTCGGCCCTCCTGGATCCTTTGTTCCTCCAGCGGTGTTTGGCCGTCGAGCTCGTGGTACTAAAAACGGCTACTCGATGGCACGAACACAGCTGAGCTTCCAGGCCGTTCGGGAGTTCAGGACCGTTCGGTATTTTGTTCCCCATATAGCAATCGGTCTTTTAAGTGTGTATTTTAATGAATGTGTTTTTCGTGCTGCGTTCGGTTGTTTTAGCTGGGATCTGAGCGGTAATCTCACAAATGATGCGCTCAGACTCGTGCAAATAGACCTAACACTCGAAAAACTGTGTATTTTAAAGTAACTTGCCGGTTCTGCTGCACGGAGGGATAATCCACTTAACTGTACATTCCAGTGGGAGGATCCCTCTCGTGCAGCAGTGCCTGATGGGGGAAAGGCTCTGTAATGTAAGTTCCCCACGTAGTCCACTCCTGGAATACCCCTGGGGTAGGACTCAGGAAACCCCTTGCATGGGGAATTGTATAAATTGTGGAGCCTGTGAATAAAGCCGTCAGTTGACTCTGAGAACTGTGTTTCGTCCGGTTACTGGGAGATTTGGGATATTGCCTTACTTTTCAGCGCATGACTGTGGATTACCTTCTGAACCAGCGGAGATCGTGGAATTTAATATTGCCGCTCCGCTACAATAGTTTTTATTGAATTTTATGATTAATAAAGCACACATGTACAATATCACAATCTGCAGACCTACATTAATGCAAATCATCACAAACTCAATTGATGCTGAGAAAACTGAAATAGACAACAGCACATATACAGAAGCTGAAGAAATTGGCTGCATAATCCTTTCCTCCGCCCGGGTCCCGACAAGCCAGCACCTAACCGACTGCATACCCTACTGAAATGGGGAGATCACACAGAGCCCCACAAACCGGGAAGACCCCAGAGCCCAAAAAGGGACAGCTTACCCCGTCCCTGCGACAGTTCCTGGTGACCCCCGCGGACCTCGCGACACAGCTGCATGGCACCGATGGATCAATGGCGTCAGAGCATTCCGCGCCTTCATCTCCGGCATCCGACCTGCAAACGGGAGGCACTGAGAGGCCTCCATGGCTGGACCTCCTGAGAGCCTGTAACCGTGGCTGGTTCCCTTATTTACCACTATAATGTCTTAAAGCATAGAACTTAGTAGGGCTAACCATACAGATATCTTAGCCATAATTTTATGTAGTGTAAGAGATACTCTATTTAACATATATAAATAATTGAGAATACAATATAAAATAAGGATTGTCTTGGAAGCAATAGTTTTGTCTTTTAGATATTTATTTTATGAAAATATAAATATAGACATATAAAATCCATATAGCAGAGTTTCTAAGATTAAACTAAATGCTTGCAAATATCATTAATAGGTTAACATAGGTTAAAAGTACACCTATTTATACCTTAGGTGTCTCCATTTTAGGGTTACCGTAGTTCATATATGAAAAAGTAACACTTCTTTTACTTTATTCATTTTAGGACCTCCCTTAACTTGGCAAACATACAAGGCCATAACTAAAGGGTGTATACGTCATGGAAATTTTCCTGACTTAGTTCAAGATGGCATCTTAAAGTCTGAATAGCTTATCTGTTGTTTATACTAAGACGTAAGTGCACAGTCGTGGGAGATTCCCGGATTTGGGGAAGTTCCATTAACTTGGGGTTACCACAGTATATTGTGTACTGAAAGAGTCGTAGCATAGCCTTGAAGCTTGTTTATGCATTATTGTTATTGTAATTCGTCTGGGACAAAATGGCGCAAACATATTATGCACTGAGGTTATTGCTTAAAGAAACATCTATGAAAAACAATATGTTCCATTTCTAACACCTTGTCAGTTTGCAATATCTCTTAAAGACAAAGTACACAGTTTAAGAAATACAACATTTCATTCTAAAACTTGTAATATTTGCATTTGCCCATAACAAACCTTGCCCACGAAAGAAGACCTCCGCTCTTCCACCTCAGAGTTGAGAGCCACGATCCGGCAGGACATCCAGGCACTGAGAGCTGACATGCAGGGCCTGACAGACGTGGTGAGCCATGTGGAGGCAACCTGTGACAGCCTGAGAGCGGCCCAGAACTGGCAGAGGCTGCAGACACCTGCTTTGAACAGGTACGTGGCATGGCCCTACACATTGAGGATTTGGACAACAGGCCTCCCTGAAACAGAAGATTCCCCCCTGCAACTGCGGGAAAGACTCTTGGAAATATTTAATGGGCTACTAGGCCGTGATCACCAGGCACCAATAGAATTTGTGAGAGCGCATAGAGCCCTCCGCCCAAAGGGCCCACCAGATAGCCCACCCAGGGATGTCATTTACTGCCTAGCAAATTTTGCCTTAAAGGAGACCATCCTTAAACAAGCAAGAGAACAGCAGACGCTCACCTACCAGAATCAAGACCTGCAACTCTTCCCGGACCTGTCACCGGCTACCCTGACCTACCGACGTGCTCTGAAACCGCTCACAAGAGTACGGGTTGCCCAACAGATCCGGTACAGATGGCAGATGCCCACGGGATAGCTTGTTCACACACCGACAGGTCCATTCCTGGTCCGCACACACAGCGACTACATAGCGCTGGTCACTTGCCCGCTATCAACATGAGGTGGCCAGACCCATTGGACATATACAATGCCGCAAGCTAGAAGGCACGACCCCCCCGCTGCACCCGGCCTTGGCTGCCTCACACCACACTGGCCCTCTCTAGCGCACGCTCCGCTCCACCTATCCCAGGCCGGGTCCCACCTACCGGGGTCTCTGCCCACCCTCACAGACCGAGGCAACAGAGACACTCGTGGGACTTGACAGCATGGCTACGCACACACCCAAATAGGCACCAGTCCCACTCAACTTCCCTAAATGCCAAGGGTCTAAATTCGCCAAGGGTCTAAATTCCCCCAAAAAGAGGTCACACGCACTGTGCCTCTGCCAGAAAGCTAGAGCTCATGTAGTCTATCTCCAAGAAACCCACTTTAAACTCGACTCTGCACCAAAACTCTGTAACAACATATATACCCAGGGATTCTACAGCCACAACCCAGACGGGAAATCCAAGGGGCAGTGGCGTACACATGACCCATGGGGCCCGGTGCGAAAATTGATCCGTGGGCCCCCCCGCGCTTACTTGGCACGGGTCGGGGCCGCAACACATGGCGGCGGGCACCTGGTCACTAGTTTTAACCCTGCAGCTGAAAACATAGCAGTTTCAGAGAAATGGTTATGTTTCACTGAGGGTTAATCCAGCCTCTGGTGGCTGTCTCATTGACAGCTGCTAGAGGAGCTTCCGCGATTCTCACTGGGAAAATCACAGTGAGAAGACACTGAACGTCCATAGGAAAGCATTGAGTAATGCTTTCCTATGGGTGGTTTAAATGCGCGCGCGCCTCTTGCCGCGCATGTGCATTCGGAGCTGAGAGGCGGACACTGGGGAGTCCGACGCTGGAGAAAGGTAAATGCTGAAGACATACACACACACTCTCACGAACAGACGCCTACACACTAGCTAACAGACACACACATTTACTGACAAAGACACACTCAGCGACAGACATACATACACATTCACTTACAAAACATACACTTTCACTGACAAACACACACTCTCTAACAGACATCAAACACACTCAGTAACAGACATACACAGTAACACACTCACTAGCAGACACACACCCAATAACGGACACACTCACTGACACACACACTAACACACGCACTAACACAAACAAACACTAACACACACACACACACACACACACTAACACACACAAACACATTTTTTTTAAATTTAATCCCCCCAGCCTGCGTACCTTTTGGAGTGCTTGGGGGATTCCCTGGGGTCCAGTGGTGGTGCTGCTGGGCTCCTGGGGCTCCTGGCCGGGCGGGCTGGCTGTCTGGCGCGCGAGGGAGCACTCTCCACTGTGCGCTTCCTCTTCAGCTCCCTCGCGCGCCGCGTAGGGATGCTGGCGCCGGAAGATGACGTCATCTTCCGGCTCCGGCATCAGTGCGGTGTATGAGGGAGCTGAAGAGGAAGCGCACAGTGGAGAGTGCTCACTCGCACGCCGGACAGCCAGACAGCCCGCCCGCCAGGGCCAGCCTCGGGGGGGCCTGAGGTCAGGGCCGGTGCAAAGAATTTTGGGTACATAGGCGAAGATGCATTTTTCCTCCCCCCCCCCCAAAAACATATTCGCCCATGTGCCTCTTAACCTCCCTTTTGTGTTTCTTATCCCGTCTTTTAAATATCTGACTCCCTTTAGTGTATTTTATCTCCTATTTTTGCCTTTGTGTCTCCTATCTCTCCTCTTTGTGTCTTTTATTCTTCCCAGCTCCTTTGTGTGTCTCTTTCCTTCTCAAGCCCCGCTGTGTGTTTCTTTTACATCCAGCCCCTCTCCCTGTCCCTTAATGGTCCCCTCCCTTCTCTGACCCTTACTGTTCCTCTCCCTTCTCTCCTCCTTTCCCTATTCCTCAGTGTTCCTTTCCCTTCCCCCCTCCTTTCCCTGTCCCTTAGTGTTCCTCTCCCCTCCCCCCTCTGTTCCCTGTCGCTTAGTGTTCCTCTCCCCCCTCCCTCCTTTTCCTGTACCTTAGGGTATTTCTCCCCTCTTCTCCATGTCCCTTGGTGCACCACCCACCCCCATAGTGGTCCCCTCGCCTTCCTGGTGTGCCTCCTACCTTTCTTGTAGCGTGGCTGAGCGGAGCGAATCCCGGTACAGTGAGCTTTTCCTGTCAGTCCTGCTAGGTACAGGAAACAGAAGTTCCTGTACCACGGTACACTCCGCTTGGCCACGCTACAGTCAGGGGTGTAGAAACACTGACAGTCACACACACTCAATGACAAACACACAGACATCTCTGGCAGCCAGACTCACTTATCTGACACTCATTCATTGACAGACACACAAACACTGACAGACTCATTGACAAACACACACACACACAAACTCACAGACACTGACAGACACATGTACTCACATGCACACACGCACATACTGACAGACACTCACTCACACACACACACTGACAGAACCACACACACACACACATATTCACATACACACACACACACTGACAGACACACATACACACACACATACATACACACACACACTGACAGACACACTCACTCACATACTGACAGACACACATACACACACACACACTGACTGACAGACAGACACTGACACACACACTCACACACACTGACAGACACACATACACATACAGACACACTCACTCACACACTGACAGACACACATACACACACATGACTGACAGACACACTCACTCACATGCACACACACACTAACAGTAATTAATCATCTAAATTAAATTAAAATTTCCCACCCAGCCTCCCTACCTGGAGAGCTGGCGTGGGTCTCTCATTGGTGGTCCAGTGGGGCTGCTGGGAGGCGTGCGGCTGAATTGGATGCCGAGGTGGCGAGGGAGCTCTGATCTCTCTGATCTGCTCCCTCGCAGGCTGCTTACTGATGCCGCGGGAGCCGGAATATGACGTCATCAGCAAACAGCCTGCGAGGGAGCACATCAGAGAGATCAGAGCTCCCTCGCCACCTCGGCATCCAATTCAGCCGCACGCCGCGCCGGGGATCCAGGAGGTGACCTGGCAGGAGGGAGCACTTCCCTCCTGCCGGTCACTGGAATTTTGCGCCCCCAGAGCCGGTGCGCCCTAAGGCGGCCGCCTGTGCCGCCTTATGGACGCGCCGGCCCTGCCTGAGGTGGCCGCCTCCTGGGCCCCCCAGGAGAAGAGGCTGGCCCTGTGGGTCCCCTGTGGGGACCCTGGTATGTACGCCACTGCCAAGGGGGCAGCAATACTCCTACACAAATCCATACCCTTTGTGGCTGACTCGACCATGACAGATAACGCAGGCCGATATGTGTTCGTCAGGGGTAGAATCCTGGACGAAACCTATACCTTTGCCAACATCTACACCCCAAACACGCGTCAGGACAAATTCCTTCCGGACGCACTCTGTGCCTTCCACAACTTCACGATGGGCTATCTGGTCCTATGGGGGACATCAATGTCGCCCTACACCTGACGGTGGACGAATCCAGAGGCCACTCATCAACACCTTCCCCCACGCTGCTCAAAATACGCAAACTCCTCCACCAGTACAGACTTACAGACTGCTGGAGGGCGACACATCCGACAGATAGGGACTACATTTTCTATTCGGCCCCGAACGACTGTTACACACGCATTGACTATTTCTTCCTTACATATTATTACCTATCCAGACTGCGGGACTCTACCATAGGGGGGACAATGTGGTCAGACCACGCGCCACTTATGATACAACTAACATCTCCACAATACAAACCTAAAACCACTACATGGCGGCTCCACGAAAACCTCCTATCTAACCTGCAGGTGGCCCAAGACATACAACAAGCCCTGACAAATTATTTTGCAGAGAACCTGCCACAGGACACATTCCCCCTCCTGACATGGGAGGCTCACAAGTCTGTGATCCGAGGGATCCTTATCTCGCCCTGAAAAAGGCAAGGGAACACACGATCTGAGAATTAACCGCCAAGATAGGGAACCTGACACAAGCACACAAACCAACACTGGATGACACACTCCTAGGGGAACTCACAGCAGCGCGCGAAGAACTAGCAAGGGGTCTTGCGACAATCGTACACTAGGGCCACCCAACGCACTAAATCATTTTTCCACGCGGAAGGAGATAAATGTGGCAGGTTGCTCGCCAGAATGATAAACAAAAAACATGCCATGACATATATTGCATGCATGCGTGACACCTCGGGCCAATTACGTCACATGCCAGACCAAATCGCTACAGCTGTAATACACTTTTACACAGACCTATATGCACTCCCCTCACACCCCCCCCCCGAGCTGACCCGCAAATAGGAGCGACCCGCATAAATTCATACCTTACTAAATACACAAAAGCCAAACTTTCCTCGGACGCAGCGGAGGCCCTGGAGGCGTCACTGACGGAGGGGGAACTGGCCCTCGCCATCAAAACCTCAAAGACCGGCTGTAACGGACCGTTTTGCACAAAAGGGGAAAAAACCGTTTAGACGATAATCCCCCTTTCAGAGCCAGGCACAGCTACTGTAGAATCACCAA